CAAATATTTAATAGGATACCTACGTACTTGCAAAAGATTAAATAAAAAAATGCAATCTCGGCTATAAAAATTGAATAAATCTAACCTTAAAACAAATTACATGCATTTCTTCAAACTAATTAATAAAATAAAATTTGAAATTAGCTTCACAATAAATACTTTGAGTACATTTTTTTTTTTTAATTTTCGAAATTTTGTTGTTTTCTCTTACCTCCACTTCGGCCTTCGACCATAATTTGGAGCGGGGTGGCTTAGTGGTAGGGTACTGAGCCTCCAATGCTAAAGGTCACAGGTTCGAATCCCGGTTCATGGCAGAAAAAATATTTATTCTGTTGCATTGACAGTGAGGCGACCAATTTAATTAGAATCTTGGTCTTGGAGTTATTCATTAAAAAAAACTTTAAACATTATTTAAAACACCTTTGTCTTTAGCATGTAATAATAATTGAATCTACTTCATACGGAAAATCTACTTCATATAACAAGAAATGCACGGTTTCTTTCGTCTTATTTATAAGAAGAATATCGACGGCCACACTGCAAACGCCTGTAAGGCGTAAGGCATTTGCAGTGTTGCAGTCGATTTACAACAAATTAAAATAAATGGAATCGTTATTAACAAAATATTATTAGACAATTTTCATAACAAATCTTTGGAAAAGGTAGGATACATTTGAACAACAAGCTGTTTTAAAAAAAAAATAAATTACCAGTGAACAGATATGAAGCAAGCGTGATTACAAAAAAAATAGTAGTTATTATAGTATGAACTAATATACGTTCTTGAATTTTCACTTGGTCCATGACAAAACCACACCACTGTCTGGAAAAAAAGTACTACTTCCATTGAGTGCCTGAAGAACGAATGACTACTCCCGGCTCTATCGGATTACCGTCCATCCGGAAGTGTGACAGAGAACAAGAGCACTCCTAACCAAATCAGTCCGCTTACTGAACGGATAGAGGAGCTCTTGGCAATTGCATTATCCGGAGCTCAGATGTTCCGGAACCACTCTTCACTTTCAGTTAATGATGGCAAAAGCCTTCACTTATTCTTTATTATCTAAAAATAAATTGATCTCTTTCCGAGCTAGTACTTATTTATTTATAAACCGGATCCGTCCATCGTTCTAGAATAAATACTGTTAAATAATATAGGACCATTTGTTTTTTTACTAATTTATAGTCTAGCCTCCATTTTTTAAAAATAATAAATACAAAATTTCATTATTCTTTAAAATTTCTTTAAATAATAACTTTACATTTCCGCCAACACTTCCGTAATGGAAAAGTATTGATTTAGGCGTGAGTTAAAAAAAAAATGATCAAGATACAGATGAAATATAAAAATAAAAAAAAAATATATTGGATATAAAAAATTGAATACAAATCTTGTGTGTCCGCTCACACTACTTCCCTACCTAATACAGAAAAGTTTTTATATTTTTAAATATGACATTTGAAAAACAAAGAAAATTAAATAATTGAAGCAGATTAATTTTCCTGAAAATTGATCACAGAAAAGATTTGAGTACAATTTCTTTGATAAACTAAAAAAATGTAAACTCGCTTGTGGAAGAAAATTGAAAGGTAAATCTTGCCACAGACAGGCCAATGGCTGAAAACGTGTTATTCGGACTCAGGGACCTCTGAAACATACAGATCCGTATAATTTATAATAATCTATCAGTGATGCAATAAAAGAGAATCGATTAAAAAAAATACCCTATACATCCGCAAAATATCACCTGCCCTTCATTGTCTTGTATTTTTAAACATTGTTAATCGTTTCTTATATTTTTCCAATTAATATTATATTTTAAACTTATAAATTTTTAAAATCTAACTCCCGTGTAAATAAATTGTAAACAAGCAACCAGGTCTGGATTTGAAGTAAGGATGCTCCTAAACCACTAGGTTTTCGCCACTCCCTCTTCATACCTACGGTAGGGGAAACTCAAGAAAATAATCTATTACCTGAGTAAATTAAGAAATTGTATACGTATAAGGGAATTAAATGAAGATATTTCTTACTCATCATTCACAGTTTATTTTGGTTTATTAATTTCAATAATAAACCATTGTTATCGTCCAAAAGATTCGAAAAGTTAACCTCCCTCAAAATTTGAGGTTTTGTGTTTCACGACATGTAGAACTCGAAAATCAAATACAATTTTTTTTGTCAGCCCGCCTGAGGAATATATATTTTAATCAGACGAGAGCGTTATTGTTTTCATTAAAATTGGTGTTTTTTTTTATTAAATATTAACTTTATTGCTCAAAACAGCTCAATTTTTTTTTTAATCTGTCAAAAATGTTAATGTTTTAGTAAATATATACCATAGTGTACACCTCTCCGAAACATTGACTCTGAAATCCATTCAACAAGCGAGGTCAACATAATCTGTGGGCCAACAATAATGAAACAATTCTTCACCCAATGACTGGAACACCGTCGTAATGTAAAAAGTTGTCAAAAATAGAATTGGTTGGGACTCCCGACTTGGTAGACATCACATATGGAAAAAACAGATTTCCATTACGACTTAATGAATTTGTTTCAATAATTATTGTTGAATTTTTTACTTCATTAATTATTCATCAGTACCACAGCTATAAATACACATGAATTTAAATTCTATCCTCAATCACTTTTAACCTATAACTTGTATTCTTTATCGTACTGTTTTTAACTTAGAACTGTGTTCCCCCGACGGACGATAAATCAACCTTAGGAACACAACCCTCCCCCAGAAGAATTGCATTATCGGGATAATAAAATGTCGGCTACATTTTTCTTAGCGCATCCATCCCGACCCATCCATCTACTTCAAACATGTTCACCGAGTCATCGCCGGACCGGGGGCCTTTGCATCCATCTACGGCCGAAGCCGATGGGGGACGGTAGGAAGTCCGTCGTTTGTCAAAAAGTACTCCTGGGCCTCTGGTACCCACTGCCATCTGAATAATAGAATACTGACGCTATCTACCCTCTTTATTTATTTACCGCATTTGAATAATGACTTCATTTTTTTGTATGATAATATCAAATGATAAATCTGGCTTGGCTTTTGGTCATCCATACCAAAAGTGATATATGCATTGTTAAACAAGTAAGCTATTAAATCGACAAAATCTAAAAATTGTTCATAATGTTTCTAACAATAACATTTTAGGGCGTAGAGGAAGTTTTTAGATTTCAACTTTTCGGATGAAGGAAAAGTCTACAAAATCACAAGAATAAACAAGTAACAGGACCTAATTAATAAAACTACAGATCGTCATTAATTTATCAGATGAGGAGAATGGCTAGTGTAGTCAATGAACCACACCCATAATCCCTCGCCCATAATTAGATGTATATAAAAGATTTTTTAAAATATAAACATTGGAAGATCAAAACACATTAAGGGAAAAAACCCAAACCTTGATGGATTAAATAGGCCATTCTGTGACTTTGTACAAGAAAAGAACTTCTTTATTTAATTCGCCAAAAAAAAAAAACTATTCAAACAATAAGGAAGAAATTACTAAAAAGAATATAAGTGATAAGTTCGAACTAAACTTCAAATATTATACATGGAAGTGATAAACTGGTTAAAATAACATTTAAGTTAACAGAACTGGAATTGGGTACTTACTTGAATTTTCAATTTTATTTCGAATGTCATAACAACAAAAATGGAAAAAAAAAACTCAAAATTTTCTGTTACATATTTAATGGGATAAAATTTGACAAGATGTAAATCAAAATCATGTTTTATCGATGCAAAGAAAGTTCCAGGACTTCATAGATACCAATAGTATGATGAAAAAATATTAATACATATCCATTTCGTGAAATAAACCTCAAAGTAAAGTGTGAGAATACTTTTTTGGCCGTGTTGAAGGGATTAAGCAAATTTAAATAGTCTTCCCCAATTATGTATTTTACTAAATCCTTTATTAAATAAAAATGTTTAACAAATCAATTTTAGATTTTTTCATAGTAAAATATAAAAAAGATTAAGTTGGTCGCTACTTTTTCGATCCATTCTATATAATTATCCACAAGAACACAAAACTCTTCTGCATAGTCCAAATTTTAATCTCGACAAACATTTCTGGACTTACGCCTCTTCACTGCTCGGAAATCAAAATGCAACTTCATTAAAGTATCTTAAAACTAAATTGTTCAAAATGGTGGGGAAAATATCCTCCCCATTGACCTCAATGTTGATCCAATCACTAGCGGATCCAGGATATAATTTTGGGAGTGGCTTCAGCCCGAAAGCTTTTTTTCGTAAAAATAACGATAGTTACTTTGGGAAAAAAGGAACTAAATACCTATATGAATTGGTGTTTCAGTGATTCCTAAAGTCCTTTTAAATATTATTACACGAACAATAATACTTTAAGAAATAATTTTTTTCTACAAAACATGATTATATTTTACCATTTTTTTTTGGGGGGGAGGAAGGAGGCTTGAGCCCCGAAGCCTCCCTCTACCCCCCCCCTCTCACCTTCCCCCTGTAGTTCCACCCGTGGATCCAATCAATGTATAAATGGTACTGAAAAACCAAGGACTGCATTCAAAATATTAATTTAAAAATTTTAAGTAAAATAAATAAATTACTATATACTACTGCTATGCACGAAAACTTTTGCGGCATCGAAATTCTTATTTTATACATTTTATGCCGCAAAAGTTTTCGTGCATGGCTGTAGTATATAAAATTTAAAAAATCAACAAAAACAATTATTGTTTATAGACATGAAACAATTTTATTGAGTATAGACATGAAAACCATGTATTGAATTTCATTTAATGAAAATTTCCAAATAAAGATAATGAGTTGGTTCGATCTGTATAAATTTAACTATGCAAATTATTTTCCACAGATAATATCTCAATTTAAACATATGTTAATGAATAGAGTAAGATATTAAAAAGGCTTGAAATAGTTCAACAAAAGATTTTGAACAAGACAAATATGGTTTCCATGGCAGCTAGCCGAAAGGTAACAATCCTGTAGGTTATATTTCTTAGTTCGCGAGAATGGCTACTACGGATTCAAAGAAAACAACTGCTGCAAAACCGGTAAAAGGAAAAACATTATCGCCCGAAGAGATTTACAGTGGATTTCAACAGCTTAGAAATGAGCAACGGAACCTGGTCAACAAGCTCACCGAAGTTGAAATGGACCTTAACGAGCATAAGTAATTTCAGTATTATATTGAGTGTTTGTGTACTTAAAAAAACTGCAAGTATTTATTTTTTATGCCTCGAAAAGTTAGGTGTAGATTTTTTTTTCAAATTTCAAACAGAAACATCGTTTTAATGCCTCACAGAAACATGTGATTGTTACCTCCTACACATCCAGAGTGCCATCCATGTTTTCCTTAATGATTACTGACAAGAGACTCTGAAAATTACATAAAATATGCGTATTTCTATTTTACATTATACATTATAAAGATTAATAATGAAATACAATCTTATATTTATTTCAGTTCTTTGCAGAACTAACCTACAAACTTATTTTAGACACTAAGACCAGCTTTACTTTTTTTTAGTACTTTTATGTTCATGAATGATTTTAGGATGGTGCTTGAAACCCTTAAAGATTTAGATGGTGACAGGAAATGTTTTCGGCTCATTGGAGGTGTACTATGTGAAAAAACTGTGAAAGATGTCATACCTACGTTGACAACCAACAGGGATCAGGTAAGCATTATAACTTTTAATTTTGAAAATTCTGCCGGTTTTATGCAATTGATAATAGGGTCAATGGTTTTATAATTAATCTAAGAATGTTGGTTCTATGTGTTATTTTATCATATATTGTGATACCTCTGTGGGATGTTTCATGTTTTAGAACATCATTATGTGTACTGCATTTACATTTTTCTTGATACAATAAATAATATCATGTTTCCAAATGGCTCTAATTCTATCGATGGAATCTATCAATCGTTTGAATCCAGCACTGATAGACAACAATTTATGCTGTGTTTAGGAATGGGCAAGATCAAAATCTTTTGATGATCTGCTGGTGAACATGAAAAAATATCTATTTTCTGAATTTTTTATTTTCAAAACAAATAAATATAGATAGTAAGTAAACCTAATAAAAATATGTTAAGTGAATTGATTATAATGAGGTTACATCCAGCAGATCTATCAACTCTAATAGCTCATGGATCTACTGAGCTAATGATAATTAAGTTGAATAAAGAGACATGCTGAATTCCATCAATGAATTTAGGAACGAACTAATAAGATTTCCAATGCCATTGATAAGCTTAGCTGTGAGTTAAGAAACTTGAGAATAAAGATTTTGATTTATTATTGTTACTAATTATAAAAAGGTCTTCCCACTCTGAATCCCTTCGTTTGTACAGTAGTATTTTTGTCAATAACTGTCCAATAAAAAGTTCTATATGTTACTGTTTTTGACATCAACAATTTGATTTTTTTTTTAATTAAGGGAATTAAAAATTAATACTTTATAAATGGTTTAATTTTATTATAATATGTATGTAACAAACTTTATACTAGATGTATACAAAATATTCTTTAACAGTAAAATCGAGGAAGTGTTACAAATAATGAGTGAACCAAAATTACATTTAATTTATCTTCAAACTTACAACTTGATGTATTATGTCAACAATATTTTTTAACATAATAATCAGTTTATGATACAGTAGTCATTTCAAATGTTGGTCATCAGAATGTTATATAGTTAATTACTTTTAATTGTTTTTTTACCAAATACTCAGAACTGCTGTTATAAAATATATGTCTTATAGTAGAGTTAAAAAAACAAATAAGGGGAAAATCGGAACCATATAACTTATTTACTGAGCAATTCATTGACATTTGTGTCATATACTTACAAAGGTGTAACTCATAATTTGTAAATATAAACTCTATTTTGATTTAAAATTATGAGATGAGATGATGTAGTTTATAATCTACATTTGGTATTTTAAAAATATGTTAAAGTGATTTTGAAGGTATAACATTTATTTTTGAGTAATAATCCGATAATGGAGAAGTTATTTAGAGTTTGCCAGTCACTGTGAGAAACACAAATAAAAACTTCAACTATGTATTTTGTTTTGTACCAACGTTTAGTGCTTTCATCAGCTCTGAAACTTGGGCCGAAACATTGGCACAAAATAAAATAAATAATTTTTGTTATCATTTCTTTTTCTCACTGTTACTACAACTTCCCATTTATATCGTCTACAATAAACTATTTCACCACCGTTATAATCTAACAAAGATTTGTAATAGTTTAGGATCTACAATGGCCAACATTTCATGATGTTTTGGCTAAATGAGATCAGAGGCAGTGGCTTGCCTCTATCTGTTTATCTAGATTTTTCAAATAACCTGTGATATTCCAAATCATTATGTAATTAAACTTAAAAAATGATTATTAGATTATTATTCTAAATTAAATGTTACTCCTCCAAAATCACTAAAATATATCAATTTAAAATTAAAAAACAATCGATAGCTATAATCGAAGTGAAGTTCATTGGAGGACTGTTCAGCCAAAAAGTAACAAAGTAGAAATAAATTAATGAAGGAGATGGTCCGGGGTGGCAGTCATAAATAGGCAAAATAGTGGCCAAAGTTTATTATTAAAAGTCAACGTTTCGACCCAACTTTGCAGGTCTTCTTCAGGGAGATATGTTCAGCAAGGAGTTTACTTAATCTAGAAGTTCTAACTCCTTGCTGAACACACCTCCCTGAAGAAGACCTGCAAAGCCATATTTACAAATTATATTTATTTTTATTTTTACCGATGTGTTGGCCCAAAGTTCAGGTCTTCATTAGGGCTGTTGTCCTTATGAAAGACTCTGTAAGACAATAAATAATTAACTGTCATAGATATATTGAAGAGAAGTTTGTTGTGTTCAGACAAAATGTAACAATAAATAAATTATATTTATTTTGCCAACATTTCAGCCCAAAGTTCAGGCTTTCATCAGTGCTGTTGTCCTTATGAAAGGTTCCATAAGACCAACATGAAAATTAACGAAGGTCTTACAATCCTAATGAAAGCCTGAACTTTGAGCCAAAATGTCAGCAAAATTTAGTATAATTTATTTATTATTTTGTTACTTTTTGACTGAACACCCCAACAAACTTCTGTTCAAAATAACTATAATCAAAATGTTTTAATTACGCTCAACTCAGTTTTGTTTTGATAGATCTATTGTATTACTGTCATTACCCTAAAAATAATTATGTTTATATCTATGGAACATATACATATATTTATATATTTTTATTTTTTTTTTGTAGTTAATGGTAGTAGCAGAAAGTTTGAATGAGCAAGTAACCAAAAAGGGGATTGAAATTAATGAATACAAAGAAAAACACAACATAGGCATTCGAGGAGTTGATGATCCACCCCAGAGCAGTACATCGGAAGGTGAGAAGGCTACTGAGTCAACTCCAATGAGGATTATGGTCAACCCAATATAGTGCTCACCAGATGAGAGTGATTTTCAACTAACCTAAGCTTCCCCCAATCAATGCCTATGAAAGATTTCTTTCTTTCTTAGTCATTACATGGACAATTTACAACCAATTCGAACTGTTAAATAGTGGAATTCTGTATCGAACAAGTCGTGGCACCGTTTTTTATTTCCTTACATCATTGTGTTTATGTGTGATTTAGTTTTGTTGATTTTCTGTTATAACATATTTTGTATGCAATTAAATATATTTTATTTCACAATTAGTAGGCAGTTTTAGTCACTTTTCCTTTATCTCTTTACAGAAATATCATGTCAGTACTCTCGTTGATCAGTATCCTTTTCAAGTTTCCCCTCCCCCAGCTTTCGGTAATATTAAATAATAATATTATTATCTACAACAGAGGAGGGCAGCCTATTCTCCACAAATTTGGGTAACCTAACTTTCAGCTTTTCCAACATTTACTTCAATAATTTTCCCGACTTAGAAGGAAATGGAAGTAAATTACACAATATAAATATTAATTGTTACACGTCCAATTTCAATGATAATTTTTTTTTTCAATTATAAAATGTAATAAAATAAAATTCTAAAACTAAGAGATTTTCTGGTGACTGCATCAATTTTGGTTATTTACCCAGAGAATACATGATCTATGTTTCATTTTTATAAGTTTCATCCCTGAAAAAGTTTTTTTGACAAATACTTGTGGCTATTAATTATGCAAATCATAGACCACAAATGAATAAAATTCAAATGACATATTTTGAATCATGTCATAAAAAATAAATATTTGACAGAAACCCCAATATTCTACCTTCAAAAAATCGCTGTATTTTATTTCTGTTGAACATGAGTTATTTTATTTTTTTCTCATCAACAGTTTAGGTAGGGTTTATCAGTTTTTATTTAATAAAATTCTTTGCATAAACAAACTACTTATATTTAAAATTTTATCTCTTGCATTGTTTATTTTTAAAAGTTCTTATGTCTTTGATATTTTTATTTCATTAAAAATTGTACCATGAATCTAGATCGATATATTTAGAAACCAATTTTCTGTCTAAAACTTAATTCCAATAAACAAAATATCAGGAAGGGAAGGAGTTTGGTTAGAAGAAAACAAAAATAGAATAATTCATACACATACCAAAATTAGTGTTTTGGTAATATGGTGTTCACTTAATAAAGTGATGATTTTTTATTTGACTGACTTCATCTGTGCTGGAGCATGCTATTTATATTATTATAGTGCTGTTACAGGCACTATAATTCTCAAAACTCTTAAATTATTTCAGACTTAATAGTTTTATACCTTTTCTTTAAAATTTTAAATAGTTGAATAGAAGTAATATAGTTGGCAATATTATTTGTTGCCCACTATTAGCGTACTGTTATACAGTTCATTCGCACTAATACAAACCCAAATTATCTTGGTAGTTGGTTAATCCAGAAGAAATTAAAATTCAGCACACATACTAAAACGCTCTAAGATTAACAGACACATGAATCTTGTTATACAAATCTGTTTCATAGAAATCTTATATTTATTAAACAATTATAATAAGCAGGGAAAGCATAGAAATAAGAAACAGTGGAAAAACCTTTTTTTTAAGTTCACTTGCACTCAAGGGACACTTTTAAATTTGATCTTATCTTTTAAATTAAAAAATATACATTGATTTATTACCATACTTCAATTTCCATATGTAGCTTTGACATTCATTATTGAATCACATTACAAATTTTATTTCCTATAAATTTGTTTTTCTTTGTTATTTTTTTCAACAGTACTTTCTAAAAATTAAAATATTTTAGTTTAGAAAAATCTAGCTGAATATGTAAAAAATCTTGATGGTAAATAATATCTTCACTTAATTAGGGTAAACATACCTAATAGCTGACATGCTTAACGTTATTTCTTTGAAATTTTATAAATAAAAATTTAAATATTGATGTTATTGTATTTTTCTGGGATTCGTCTTATGGATCTATTTCTCACCTTGTCCCATTTAAAATCCTTGAAACATCCATCTAAATTTTTAAAAAATTGTAAATTAAAAGAATATTTTAGTTGTATTAGTAGCTGACATTGATTTTGAATGTTTCCATAGCTGACAGGTATGGGAATAAGGATGTAATTATGTGAAATAATGTATTGAAATTTCATATTATTCATTTTAAGATCAACAAAAATTACCTTTTACTTATTACGAAACTAACTTCTCACGTTTCACATAATAAATAAATCGGTAAATGCCGGGTCCTATCAAGTACCTTTTTTTGGCAATAGGAAAATATATTTTTCCTTTGAGATTAATCCACATCCCAAGCAATATTTATTTTAACGAGAGTCTTGGATGTTCCATATTTAAAATCTGTTATACTGAGTATATCACCCTTTTTATTTAATTTTTTTTTTAAATTATTAACTGATTAAAATTAGAAAGTAACTTATAATTTTTAATTTTATTACTATGACTGTTTAATTACTCTGTATCTTTATTTATGTATCTCTAAGGCTCCTTAGCCCATATATATGTCTTTCTGTATTATTCTAAAGGGACTCGTCCCAGAATAAATAAGGTATTATTATATATCTCTTTGAACTTCTCCGAGTACAGGTCTGTCAATAACTGGCAAAAAGTTCAAAATAAGGCTCCAGTAGCTGTCACTAATAAAATTTTGTAATTCCTTTAACAATGTAGATTGAATATAGACAAAACATAATCTAAAAACACTCCAAGAGAAAATATAACAACAATTTTCAGATAAATCGAACTAGTTAAAGAGAAAAATATAAACCACAGGTATGATGCCCTAACTGACAGATGGTTGTTTCTGGGACACTAAGTGGACTATAAAGGAGAGGGAACTACTTATTTTGCTACTCATTATTTCGGTAACAGTTCCCAGTAAGACTAAAGCAAAGCATACAAATATACAAGGAGAAAATATAGAAGCCATAAATTTATAAAATAGAGGTATAGGAGGTCCTGAAATCTAATTACTCCCATTTTTCAAGGAGGATGTTAAATATTGCTACACTATCAGCTACTGTTGCTTTTACTCTATGTTATTATAAACATTACATCTAATAGTTTGTTTTTGCTTTTTGAAGGTATATTTTTTCACTAGATAATACATTAAATTTAAGAAGATATTTAATTTAATTTATAATAACAAAATTATATGCAAATATGGTTGTTCAGTGATGTAACATGGCACCCACTTATTGTAAAAGTAAATTAAAATTTTTATCCCACTAACATTCATTCTATTGATATATGATATCAAGATTTTATATTATGTTAAAAGGTTACTTGGAAATATAAGTAGAATAACCCTTTATAATAAAGGGTTATTAATTATTTTTTCTTTTATAGTTACTGACAATCGAAACAGAAGAAAATCAAAAGAAAAACCAACGTTGAAGACAAAGTATAAAAGTGGTACAGATAAAAGAAATATATAGATATGATCTTATAAAGAATGGGTGAAATTAAAATAAAATTTAAATTATTATTAGTAATTTGTTTTGTAACTAGCTTATCTTCAATCAATGAGTTCATATTTTTTTACCTTATTTGATTTTTGCTTACAATGCCAGGTTAGAAATTATAATCTTAGGATCTTCTTCATTTTTTTTAAGATTCCTTGCATTTTGGTTCTGACCAAAGTATGATCATGGTATGCTCAACTATTTGTCAAGCTTTTTCTGCTATTGAACTAACTATTGAATTTTTCGCAACATATCTTGCATGTTCTTTAAATTACATTGCTATATTTTTTTATTCCACGTCTTTTAATTAGTTACCTTATCTTTTAATTAGGTATTGTGGCTAGGTAAAAAAGGAGAATGCTTAAAAGTAGGTTATCCTTTCATTGGTGTGAGGGGGTTCACCCAACCCTTACCCCCCTGGCATTATGAAATATAAAGTAAATCAAACTGTTACATAATAGTTATATAAGTCAGAACGACTTCAATAACCATCCTTTCCCAACTCTTAATAATTAAAGCATGAAAGTAATTTAAAGATAAAAAAAAGTAAGAACAATACTTAATTTTACAAGAAAAATCATTTTTATTTTATTTTCTCATACTTGACATCTTTTTTATCAAGTTCCTACAATGTAATTGATTAAATTTGGTTTAATATACAATTGAATCTATTGGATATTGTCAATAATTTCAGCTTGTGATGTGCAGAAGAATTTGTCGTGCAAACTAAATAAGCTGCTTAAAAATTAGTAGGAATATTTTTAGTTATGTATGATTTATTTTGCTTAGAATTTTACTTTATTTTTATTATAAAACACATTGAAAATCAATATAAATCCTTTACCACTCATTCTCATGATGATATTGCAAACATCTGATTCAATATAATGTCTTTCCATTATCAAACAGAATAATACTCAATTAAAATTAAGATATTTTATTTATTCAATGAAATTCCATTGTACCGCAGTCAACCACTGGTCCTCCAGGTTGGGGGAACAGTACACTAACGCAAATGCAGTACAAAATTACTATGCACAAGATCACATACAGTTTACGCCCCAGGCCCACCTTCCCTAGAACGCCAACATGGCTGGGGATGTAGGCAATGGCAGCCGCCCCATCAACAGACTAGACTACAGAGAGAGGGTGGATAGCCACACTAGCATGGACCAGGATCATTAAAATTACTCTTATATCAACTTGACAAGTACAAGATTGAAATCGCTGCTATCTAGGAGATCAGATTTAAAAAAGGCACCACTCTATCTACTACAGCTGTCATGAGAGGTGTTATGAATTTGGTACAGGATTTGTCATAAAGGGAAATTACAGGTAGATTATAATAGGATTTAAACCTTGGAAAGTTTATGAATATAGCCTTCTAAGTGTACATTCCCTCACAGAAGTTTATGGTGAAGAAGAAAAGAATGTTTTCTATGAACTTTTGGAAAGGATTCTGGATGCATGCCCTAGGTATGACATGAAAGTAATTGCAGGAGATTTTTATACTAAGTTGGGAAAAAAAACAACATACCAGCGGATAATTGGAATACACAACCTTCATGATCAAAATAATGATAATGAGCAAAGGCTCATTAATTTCGCAGAGTCCAGGAACCTAGTATTAGGGAGTATTATGTATGTAATAGGGAAAACAAGAGCACATGGACATCAATCGAATGATCAGTAATTAATCAGATTGATCATATTCTGGTAGGAAGACGCCACATTTATAAAATGTGAGAACATTCAGAAGAACATATGTAGATTAGGACCACTTTCTAAGCATAGCATATGTGACAGGAAGGATCTACTGAGTAAAGAATTCAGAAGGTGTCAAGAAACCCAAAAGTTTCAACCATAGAAAGCTAAAGGATACACAAACTCAGCATAATTGCACTGAAGTATTCCTGACACTAAAGTATGCCTGGGAAGCTACATTGTTGGCCAGGACATTGAAACGTTTTGGACGCACTGTTGTGGGGCAATAATGGAAGCAGCCGAAGAAGAACTAGGACCACATGATAGGGAACCGAGATTACCCTGGTCAGATGAAGAATGCAGAGCCATGTACAGGAAGAACAGTGTGTGTAAAGCAATGATTAGGACAACCACAAGGAGGTCTGTTGATGAATACCATCAGAGAAGGGAAGAAAAGAAGCGGTTACCTACTCCTTACAAAAAAAAAAGGACAAAAGGGGAGGGAGGAGCTAGGAAATATGAAACTGCTACACCGTAACAAAGAAAGTAGAGATTTCTTGAGATTGGTCAAGGAAAGAAAGTAATATGTTAATAAACTGATATCCTGTAAGGATAAAGAATTTAACTTGGTGACCAACACATCTGATGTTCTTGGCAAATAGAGAAATTACTTCAATAATCTTCTCAATTTAAGAGAAGATGGCACCTGTGATGAAGTTAGAAATTAAGAAGAAAAAATCAAAGGATCACAGGTGGAAGAACAAGAGATAGATCTTGAACCACCCGATAAAAGTGAAATTGCAGATACCATCAGCAAATTCTAAAACAATAAAGCCCCTGTTGTTGACGCACTTCCTGCTAAACATTTAAAATGTTGTGGGAAAGAGCTTACTAAAGCCCTAAAGGATCTTCTGGTGATATCAGGTGATGCCCTCTGGCTGGAGTAGGTCAATTATCTGTTGTATACATATAAAGGGTGATAGATTGCTGTACAGCAATTAATGAGGTATCTTGCTGTCATGTGCCTTTAAGATACCTTATCATATTTTGTTTGTCATCTCTTACCATATACTTAGCGTGAACTCTGTCTGTAGCGGAGTAGATTTAGGAAAAGAAGATCTACTTCAGACCAGACGTTCTGTGTGCGAACCATTCTGTGCAAAGAGGCCATTAGAACAAAACCAAAACTTGCCATCTCCTTATTGATTTCAAAGCAGCGGATCGAGAGGAATGGAAGCAGCGCACGAACCAGGACCCGTGCAACGCTTTCGGGGAAACTGATGTGAAAGCAATGAAGTTAAAGCTCTTAAGGTACACAATGGCATATTGCAAGAGTGGTAGGTGGAAAAAGGCCTAAAATATTGTTGACAATCTATAGAAAAGCGAGAAGAGGGAGACTAAAGCTAAGATGTCAGATGGTGTGACAGGAGACGTCCACAACATGTTGGGCGTTAGGAACTGGATTGCATCGGCACAAGACTGTGAAGATTGGAGGAAACAGTTAGTATAAAACAAGACCTATAACTTATTTAGTGTTTCTTTCCAATTTTATTTATTTATTAGTATGTTTTTGTTTTGTGTATCAATATTATAATATAACCCTTGTACCCGTTTGCTTTCCTTAATATATCCTCCAAAACTATGTATATATTCATTTTATTACTTAGATTGTAGTTACTCTTTATTATAATAGGTCATCTGGCCAGATTTATTGTCAATTAGTTTGAACAAAATTGTTATTCTTAAGGGTGCAAGTCCCAGAATAAAGATGATTTTATATTTATATTTCTAACTGGGTTGTAGGGCCATAAAATAATAATAATAATAATAATAATAAAATTGAAAGTAACTATAGGTTTGCACAAGGTGTATTCTTTAGGTTGACTATACTATAGTTAATAATTTATCAAAAATAAAGAATACTTTTTGTTTACTTATAAGTTTACCAGCAAATAATGACTCCCTAACAAAAAATAAAAATTTATCAATCAAAAAAGTTTAAATATAATTTCTTTATTAGCATAATTTAATAAAGACTTGTGAAAAAAAAAATTTAATATTTGCCTAGGAAAAAAAAAGAAATACAGCTAAATTTAAGTTTTGCCAGTTCTGTATATATGTTCTTGACCTCAAGTATTCATTTAAAATTAAAATGGTATCTATTTATATTATATTTAAATAACAAACAAATAAAATATCAGTAGTAAATTTCATTTCCTTCAAAAGACAATGACACAAGAAATAATTAATAGTACTTATATTTAAATTAATTCAGTATAAATATAAATAATGGGTTTTTAAAAATATCTTTAAAATTTGATGTAACCAAAAGTTACTTTAAATAAGCTTATGTAATTTTCACATAAAAAAAAAAAAAATAACTATATTAGTAGCTATTCAGATAAATTTGATATAATATCAAATGTGAATTTAGTTCATTATAGATAAACACCAAATTAAATAAATGAGAAAATATATTAAAAATATTGGTTTCTGGTGAAACATTAAACTTGCTTAAGACAGGTTTCAAGGTAAAGCTTTTTTGTATTATCAGTGAAAAATAAACACATTAAATTAACATTATTAACTTATTTATATTCAAACTTTGAAATTGACAAACTAAAAAAAAAGTGTAAATATTTTGTTTTAAATGAATAAAAACACTCAGTTTATTTCTTATTTATGAAAATAAAATTAATTTTATATGCATTTATAAATAATTTAATAATTATAATATATATGCCTTATACCCATATCAATAAAACTATAATTTTTCTTAAATAATTATAAGATATTCACAAAACCCATACACATAACATCTTTTTAAAAATTATTTGACAATTTAATCAGCAGATTAACATTTAGTCTGTGAATGAGTATAATTAAAAATAAAAATGTAGGTTTACTTAATTACTTATTCAGTTCTCACTTTACAGTAAACATAATTAATATTCAAAGTAGGTTTGTCCCTGACTGTATGCTATAAAAGACAATTCATGAATAACTGTCAGTTTCAAAGCTTCCTTGAGGTGCAATAAGCTTTCAGCTCTGTTTGAAAATGTAGCTTATCTTATCAACTGAGTGATTGTCCTACTGACTAATACGTTCATATTTAGTTAGAAACTCTTATCTTGTGCTTTATCTAGTGATTCAAGTTACCCATAACGTTGCCATCATGGATTTCTCCATATTAATGTTTCTATTTATGACTATCGTTACAAATGTGTCCGCATTCAGGTGTAATGTGACATATCCTCCAACAACTATTGACTGTTCAAGATTAGGTCTTAATAATCTACCTGAACATTTAAAAGATCACATAGCAACTGTTATGATCTTCACTCATAATAAACTTGACTCAAATGCACCATTTAACAATTGGCAAAATTTGAGATCTATAGATGTAAGTTACAATTCAATAACAAATATTACATCACAAACTTTTAAAGAACTAATCAATTTGAAGGTTTTGAATATATCCTACAATGATATTGAAGAAATATCTGAAGACACCTTTGATAGTTTAAAAGTTCTTGAAGTTCTTGATTTGTCTGGAAATCCTCGTATTGGCTTCAACTATGCTAAATTACAAAATCTTTTAAATGGAACATTATACAGAAGCTTGAAAAAATTTGTTATGAGATCTTCTGGATTAAACGAATTACCAGATACTTTCTTCAAGTATGCTATTGAACTACAATATCTAGATCTCAGTCATAACAATCTTACATCTATACCAGCTCTTCCAGATAAATTAATACATTTGGATCTAAGTCACAATTATATAACAAATGTTGGCATTGTACCATTCCATAAAAAACACAGTTTAAGAAATATATTTTTAGAATATAATGTTAATTTAAACAATATAGACACTGATGCATTTGAAACAACCATTAATTTGAAAAATGTATCCCTTAAAGGATGTACAAATCTAACGAGATTGCTTCCAAACCTGTTTTACTTTAACAAAAACTTGAAGCATCTCTCCATAGCCAATTGTGGTCTAAAAACAATACCCAGGCAGTATAAAAGTATTTTCACAAATCTACCTTCTCTGGAATTAGAGGATAATCCATGGGTTTGTAATACATCGATAAAGTGGTTTCTTACATTAGATTCTGCATTTATAAAAAATGTAAGGTAAGACCAAATTTTTTTTTTCCTTTTTAGATAGTCTTACATTAGATTCCAGTCATTATGGTTTATATAAATAATTAGATAAGTAAAATTATTTAACATTTGATCAAGCAATGATTTAATAATGAAAATATAAGTTAATTTGATTAACATAAAATTATAATCAACTTTTAAATATTAAAAATATTTGCTAGGAACAACAGGTACCTTAAGAAATTCTAACATTCTTATAAACAGGCGATAAAAAATAAAATCCAAGTAATTAAAATGTTGATATATTATTCCCTTATCATGGGCAGTGTGTTACTTACAGTAATAATACTTAAATCTCAACTATACTATCATTCATTATAAAAAAAAAATTATTTAGATTATGATGTGCTCGTAAAATGTAATTGATGTATTATAAGTTTTCATTTTTCCGTCAATAGTACACACATTTGGTGATTAAGTTATTATTTTTGATCCAGTCATATATACTAACTAGAGCAGGAAGTGCAGGTTATCCTCCAAGTTACCAACTTATTCTCAAAATTAACTAAGAATCAACCTTTATAACTGGCACCATCTTAATCTGAGGTGCTGTCAAAATATTCAGACAACCATAACCTCTTGCACTATCATCAAAAATGTTGAACATTTGCACCCTTTTTAATCATGAAAGGCCTGGTACCAATAATCACTTATATGAAAAAAAAAAAAAAAAAATCATTGGCACTCAGTTCCTTGGTAACCTGAAATCTTCAAAATAAAACATTCTTTACTTTATACCAAAACAAATAATTTTTTATATTAAAAAATTAAACATTTTATTGAAATTTCATGTTAGTAGTAATTCAAAACTTGAGATTTTTTAGTTAACCTTTCATTATAAAGTACATCAATGGGTACCCAAGATTTTGAGTAGATGTTAATAAATCAGTTTTGTTGGTTCAAACCACTTTGTTGAATCAAAGGATAAAATATTAATTAATATATTTTTGTTATTTTTTTTTTTTTATCTATGTGAGTTGTATAATGATTGTGATATATCATTATGATTTCTCATTTTAGTCTAAAAATATTCATATGATTTCATTAAGTAGTTAAAATTTTAATTTTTTTTATTAGAAGTTGTATTTAAAACAATTTTATCACAACCTTAACATTTCAAACCCATTTTTAGAACCTCACTACAATATAATTTAAACATTTATGTGCTTATATAAATACAAATAAATTATTGACTAATAATTAAATATGTATTTTTGAACAAAATGTTAAGTATGAATAAAAACAAAACAGGAAGATTATTTTCACAAAGTAAAATAATTCTTCTTAATGTCAAATATTTTATTTAAAAAATTACATTAGCATGTTTACGAAAAATGAAACACTACATAATGGAAAATAATTTTATCAAAAATTCATTTAATATTCATTTGTTTTGTGAAATAAAAGTATTTTTATGAAGGTCATTTTCTCTTATGTAATTTGTTTTTATCTTTTATATTCATCTATATCATCTATATTTGATTATATCCTGTGGATACAAATAATTTTAGTGTTATAAGAACTTTTTATTGGGAAAGTGAGATCAATTAAAAACTTAAAACTATAAATTTCAGTGTTTCTGAGAATCAAGTTACAATATACAAAACATGTAAGTTATTTGTTTTCAAAGTGAATCCTAAACATCACTGGCAAATTTGTAGTTAACGCAAACAAATATATTTTTTATACCACTAGGAATACCAAACCGACTTTAAGAAAAAATGAATTTGTAAGATATTAAAAAAAAAAATTGATATGGCGGCTTTAGGGATGAATCAAACATCAAGTTTGGTTTTTGAACAAAAAAGTTTATTGGAGTTCAGTTGGAAAAGAAAAAGTTGTGTACATGGAGAGAAAAAATTATTAGATTGTACAATACATTTTTTTTTTGTTTATAATATCGATAAAATCAAATTAATTTATTTTTAATTTTCATTCAAATAGTAAGGCTAATAAGTCTTTTGATGAATTATTTATTTAAAATTACTTGAGATAATGCAAGTATCATCAAATTTCTTGAAAACAGAATAATAATATTAATAATAATAATTGTACCTATATTAATTAAATTAGGCAGGTACTAATCCTTAAAACCCTTTAAAACAATGTATAAAATCATGTAAATTAATGGCTTTTAAAGAGCACAGTGAAAAATATATTACAATAAAAAACAAGTCTTTTAACACTGCTAAATAAATGTAATGATACAAATTAAGTTTCAGTTTTTCTTTTTTTTTTTGTTCTCCCCTATCTTGCCTTTTAGGCTATTCGGGATTTTCCCAGGTCAGAGGGTAAGGGTGAGGGATTCATGCCAGAGTTAAAAGACCTCCTTTGCACCGGGACTCGAACTCGTAATTTTTATTATTGCCAACTTAGGTTATTAGGTTGCCTGGCAACGGGTGGTAATGTGCATTCACGTTAGCCCACTCGGACATCCCATCCCTAAGTTTCAGTTTTAAGTTTCTAATAAAAAAACAAAAAAATCAAGTAGATATATTAAAATTTTGATTAGTTTAATGCAATACAATTTTTAATTTGTCTCCGAACAAAAGACTTGGTTATTTTTAACAGTCCAGTGGTTGTGTAGTAAACAAAAGCTGAAAATGAACCTCAGGAGGAGAATGCTGAACATAATTTTAATCCCTTCACTTTTAGAAAATTATAAGTATTAATTATGATCATATTTATGAGTGATAGCATTTTAATTTTATTAATTTCTTATTATTCATTGTATTTCAATTATAATTATTTATGAGTGATGGAAATTTTGTAAACCTAATTCCCTCAGTATTTGCACAATTATCCATCATAAGAAATTATATTAGAAATTTAAAATCAAAACATCTTTTTTACCTATAGCTAAAAAATATAAGCTGATAAAAAAAAAATAAATACTTTATCAATTAAGGAATTATGTTCTTTTCAGTTATGTTTCGATATATTATTTATAAGGAAGAGTTATATGGTTCTAGGTTTTATAAATGCAAGATACCTCTTCCATGGGTAATTTTTTATTTTTGTTCCTTTAGTCTGACGTTTTAAATTAGTCTGGTTTTTAACCCATCTTCAAAGACAATTTATTCTTTTGTATGAAACATAATAATTATTTCTAACAACTATATATATATTTTTAAATTACTATAAACTTTAACTGCAAGGACTTGAATTTTACTCCAGATTACAGGATGAGTATTAAAGCGTGAAAAAAAATGAATTTATTCTTTGAACTGTTTTAGTAGGATAAAAAATTACATAATATTGCCCAATATTTGACAATGAAACATTAATGTGCACAATGAGCTCATTGTTATATTTGATGACTGACGTTCCCTACACACACCGATATACTTATCGAGCACTTCGTTCTTTTCTCAAGCCAACGGATCATATAAACCGGAAACTTGATCAAGGCATGATTGATGTTTTATGATTATTATGATTTTATTTTACTTTGTAAATTGGAGTTTTAATGAGGGGAGAGGAAAAAAATGAGAAAATTCTAAAAAAAATTTTGTTGATTGATTTATATTTAACATTATATGCATTTGACCTATCTTTAAAAATAATAAATGATTTGTTCCTAAATATTCCTTCTTTTATTTTTTTAAATGATCTCTAAAAATGTTTGTTAGCATCTTTTTTTTTTTTTTAAATACATTTTGCCTCAATTAAGGGCACTGAGTATTTAGGATGAATGAAACACAAACATACCATGTATACAATAAAAGAAAAATAAGATTATAAAGAAAGAAAAGAAAAGAAAACTTGGAATAGCAGAATAAATCAAACATGAGACAACATTAAATAAAAAAAAAATAAATAAAAACACATTCATACTTATTGTCAGCATCTAGATATGTATTTATGCCATCCACTAGCGGATCCAGGATTTAGTTTTGGGGGGAGCTTCAGCCCGACAGTTTTTTTTTTCATATATATATATATATATATATATATATATATATATATATATATATATATATATATATATATATATATATATAAAACGATAATTAATTTGAAAAAAAAGAAATTAATTAATTATCTATATGAAATGGTGTTTAAGTGGTTCTTGAAGTCCTATTAAACGTAATTACACCAACAAGAATACTTTAAGAGATAGTATAAAGTATTTTTTTTCTGTAAAATATGGTTACATTTTACCATTTTGGAGGGGGCTTCAGCCCGAAGGCCCCCCCCCCCCCGTAGATCCGCCCATGATGCCATCTAAATGGCCACTCTAAAGCATTGCCTGGAAACGTTTTCTTTTCTTAATGTATGTTCTCTTTATTTTAAATAATCACTTGATTGAGAAATGTTTCAGAAAGAAATTATAATAATATTTTCTGTTTTCAACTTAAGTTATACCACTTTGAAACGTTTTCTATAGATTATTATATTCAGAAATGATAATACAATGCTTGAATATATACTTTTCAGATGCCGAGAACCTACTAATTCAACAATATTGGAATTTTATGGAACATCTATACATGGAGCTGTTCTGCATCAATTATTATTAGTACTTGTTGTAATAATATTAATTCTCTTTGGACTGGCTTTATACTTGTCATTTGTGAAAGAAAAGAAAAAAAGGTTACAAAATCCATATGTACCACTTCATGGAAAGCACCCACTTCACAATCCTGTTTATATTACAACAGTTGTGTAATGTGCCATTATTCTTTTCAAATTTGGAGAAAATTGTTACCATTAAATCCTTCAATTAGTTAAGGATTACATCTAGTAAATATGAGGAGGCATGGTAATGAAAATGCCAGAGTATTTCTTTTTATGCCAAAGACATAATTTTTTGAATGATTTTTATTTAATGATGTTCAAAGGAAATATTATATTTTAATACTTGAAGAGACAAAATTGAAATATGTATTTACAATAGATGTAAATAAATTTTTAGAGAAATGTTAGGGTAGAAGTATAAGATATTATATTGTGTTGAGGTTTTTGCCATTAAGTCATATTGGCACTTTTAAAAAACTAAATATTATGTCAATTAGAGTCAATGATATAATAAGAAAAAACAGGTATTTCTAGTCATTGAAATTGCTTCAAATCAGCAATCAAAAGTATTTTAGTTAGTTAAGTTATATTTAATATTGATACTTAGTGATTGATATAATTGTTTTGTTTTTTTATAAGACATTTGAGAAGAACTTATATTTTACCATACTTTACATGATATTAAAAGAAATGAGAGGCTTTCATATCAGAGGTAGAAATCTGTGATTTTAAAAATGATAAGGAAAAGCTAATGATTGTTATTAAGCTTCAATTTAAAGATATTCTGATAATTTTTTTAAGGAATGGCTAAGTTGAAGGAATGAAAAAAAAATAAGCATTAAAATTGGTTTAGATTGAAGCTGCATAACAAAAATTAGTTTATTCTCAACTCACTAAATGACACATGTTCGCCTTTGATAGGAAGCCACTCAATGTTTTGACAATGTATCACAAACTTATTTGATTAGTTGGTGAGGAATAAAGTAATATAAAAATAACCATTCTCAGAACAAGAATCATTTATATTTATTAATCTTGCTTATGATGAATAAAAATTTTTAAATGAAATCAGGTCTATACATTGTTTAGTTGTGAAGATTTTTCCAATGATTAATAACATTCCATTCACAGAAAAATATAGGTGTTTACATTTAAAAATGGAAGAATACATTCATTAACATTCTGTTCTATGTACATCAACTTATCAGTACATAAGAAATTTATGTTTTTTGTTAAGCATGCTTACTTAAATTCTCCCAAATTTAAAGATATTACAAAACTATAGTTTGTCACAGAGAGTAAAAAATTGATATTTCTATTCTCTATAATTCACTAAAATTTATTTGGAAAACAATTTTTATTTCTTTATCAACTCTTATAAAGTATGATCAACAATTCATAAAAGTCATAACACAAATGCTTTCAAATAAGGCTTAAACTGAACATTAAATATAAATATCAATTAATTTAGTTAAATAAATAAAAATTAACATTTGTTTTAAATTTTGGTAAAAAATAAATAAATAAAATAATCAAAATACTTATAGAGATTTGTTATTCAAGTGTTAAGGGCCAATATTTAACTGGAGTAATCAAAGACAACTGATGGATCAAAGACAAGTGGAAAACCTTTGTTGTTGGTTGTCCATTTCAACTAAAAATGAAAGCGAAGCAAAGTGTGGCCACAGTTATCCTTTCCCAGAACCATTTTTCTTCTTCCAGTTTCAGTGAAACATCCTCAATTTCTTCCTTTAAATCTTTGTCTCCTATTTTATACTTTGTGAGGTGAACATTTGTTTGGTGGCTGAAATTCGGAACAATTTTGAATTATTCTCTTTTTTCTTCCAGACCATCCCAAATACTGTACTATTTTAAAGAGAAAAATTCATTTTAATGGATATATAAAATCTCAAAAAATAGGTGACAAATAGATTACCTCAGAATTGCAGGTAAAGTCCCATTGTTACATCATTCATTCTATGAATTAAAGTAATTTTTGACTCCAGATATGTTTACTTGGAAATTACAGATAAATGTTTTCAAGCTAAATCTCTGACATCACAACATTTTTTTTTTTTTTTTTTAATGTAAAAGAATAAAATTGATTTAATTTAGAATATATATATATATATATTTTTATGAAATTTACAACTGTTTTACATAAACAATACAACAAGTAAATGTGACATTGGTAACATGGCATGTACAACATGAAGAGAAACCACCCATTGGTTGTACTCAAAAGAATATAATTATAAATAATAATACATTCCTTTAATGAACTTTAAAAAAAACTTCTTTGTGGAAGCAAATATATAAATGGTAATTTTTTTTTTTTTTTTTTTAACTTTTATTGAGTATTAATACAGTCTGCCACACTGAAGGGCATTGGTACTAGTGCTATAGTATTCATTCACACAATATGTACATAAGAAAGGAAAAAAAAAAAAAAGTATATATATATATATAAATAAAAGGATAAAGTAATATACAAGATAATTAAAACAACATAAATGGTAATATATTAACACTTTAGTCATATTAAAAACTTTTTATATAAAATTATGATTGCTCAGATATATTTCAAATTTTATATGTTAACTTAGACCAAGAGATATGACAATTTAGATATTTAAGATTATTACCTTTAGCAGAAGCCAAATAATTTTATAAAATAGAAGTTCTGAATGCTCTAATGTTGGTTTCAAACCTACAGAGTCAGGACATTAATTTGGAACAGATACAATAGTTCGTCAGACCACCAGTGAAAGACAGAAACACTTAGATACAGTGTAGTTATAGTTATGACAAGATATCCAGCATCAAACATCACACTGGTGTACCATGAACAAGAAAAATTACTGTTTCAACAGAATAACATTTTAGTTCATAAACTTAACTCAACCTAATATTACATTCACGAACGTGACAGAATTTAGGTGTTATGCCATTCTGCACGTTTTTAGGTGAAGAATCCAAAAATTTAAAACTTCAGTCAGTTTGAAAGAATTACAAATCCTAGCAAACATTTAAATTCATTGTTAGGACACACAACCCTGCCGCTCTGGAATAGTATCCTTATCTAATTTTGATTAATTCAATCAAAATTTTACTAGAAATTTTTTATAGCTAAACAAAGTTTTTTCTTTACATCTAAAAAAAGTGTGAAACAAAAGTAAATTGTCCAAATTAAAGATGGATGAGTCATGTAGATTTTAAGCAAATTCAATTGTATAATTAATGAATACCTGAAAACATACCAATACTCTTGAAATAATTGAAAATTTTGATAGGGATATCCTCCACAATGATAAAACAGAGTGATCTGCGATCAGAGTAATAATACTTAGAGGGGAACGGCCAATAAACCGCTTTCAGAAATTAGTCAGTCAGTACTTCAGGATATGAAGGCACAGAGGTTAAGAGTGACAGGGCCTGTAGCTCAAAGCAATCCATCAGAAAGCCTATGATACATCAATGAATACAAGAATAGATAAGGGAGGCTAAACACAAGATGGACAGATAGAATTAACAAAGATGCTGTATTACTACATGCAGAACAATGAAGAGCAGTAGTACAAGATGGGCAGAAGAGAAAAAGATTGATTCAGGTAGCCATAAGCTACACATAAAGCTATAAGAAAAAAATTAATTAATCAATCAGTAGTACACATTATTAAAAACAATATGAAATGAAAAAGTAAATTAAAGATGTGGTCACCATTAACAACTATAACAATATGTAATATTCACATCCATAAGGAAAATGCCCATCGTAGTGCCTGAGAATCCCATTTCAGATGGAATTCAAAAATCATCTATTGACCCACACACTTTCTCATTCATGTAGTAAAGCCCCCCCCATGCCCAGACTTAACAGAAATATATTCCTACAGACACTAAAATGATTTTTTTATTACAGTAACAACTTCAAAAGTTTCTTTAAGGAAGCTATAAAAAAATTTATTTTTAAGAACTATTAATTTAAGTGATTAGATACTCATTTTGATTAGATACTATTAACAGTCTCACTGCTCTATGCTGCAGAGATCCGAGGACCAAAATACCTGGAGGTTTCGGAGAGGACGCAAGTTTGATTTATCAAGTCATTGCTCCATTGGCCAAGAAATACACCGAACTATGTGGCTCGCCTTGAAAGTGGGAGATCTCCATTAAGCATTGAAAGTGTTGAAAAAAATGACCAACTATTGGACAAAGCTAAGCTGAATGAGTGACGAAAGACTACCTAGATAATGCTTTAATAGACTTAGAGCTCTAGACTCATCCATTGCAAAACCTGATCCAACTTATAACTGGGTTACCCAAGTAAAGATTATTTTGTAGGAACTAGGATGTCAGGAGCTGTTTTCATGTGTTTTCTCTCAAGGGCTGATGAGGTTCAAAGATGAAATCATTGAAAAAAATGAGAAACCATCACGCATCCATGGACAATGACAGTGTGTTAAACTCTAAATCAAACCCAAGATATAGAAAAATCTGCTCCTTTAATGTTACTAGACCAGCGGATTATCTTCAGTTCAAAGCTCTGAATTTAAACAAATTAAGAGCCGTTAGTCATCTCAGAGTAGTAAATAAGGATTTTGTGAAGATATACTTAAAAGATGCTACTTTGAATATTAAATCTAGTGAAGTATGTGGTGCATGCAATTGCCTTGTAATTGACCCGGTGACCCATTTTTTGATTCAATGTATCAAATTTAACGAACCAAGAAATAAGTACTTGAAAACATTTATCACTGAATCCAGGAAAGATGTTAGTGTGGAGGAGATACCGAAAGTAGGCACTATGAAAAAATTAAATCAACTGTATTATTTCATACAGGGCTGTTCATTGAACTGTTAAGTGGTATAGTTAATCATATAAACATATATTAATGCTTATTTATATTGTTATTTGTTTTATACCTCTGGAATACTTAAAATATATATATATATATCATTTAATAATCTGTTATTATATTAGTCATACTTAATGCTGTGGATGTTAATGTTATGTTATGTTTATAACATGTTAATGTGTTGATAATGTTATGTTTGTACTCATGTACTCAAGATCTAACATTGTTAATAATACGATTAATATTTATTTGTACAGAAATTTCCTTAGAAAAATAAACTATACTATTCTATTAACAGTCTCACTTGTAGTATAACTATTCAAATTCAAATGAAAAATTATTAACTGATTTGCCATCCCTATTTTGAAGTTGAATGCGGAAAAGAACAAGGCAATTCTAATAGGCTCCAATCACCTCCTAAAAACTTTTCCTAACATTCCAACCCTGTTCCTACATGATAATCCCATTAAATTCCATCCCACCATCAAAATCCTTCGAATAATCTTTGGTTAAACCCTTTCCTGGAAAAACCATATATCCAATATCTCCCGACGTACCTTTTCTACCCTAAAACATTTAAATAGCCTGCGACACCTTTTTCCTTTTGAAATCCGTAGACTCCTGGTCATCTCCTTAATATTTCCCCACTTCGACTATTGCTGCACGGTATATGGGGGCGTCTCTGGGGATCTCGAGGCAAAACTAAAACGTTTGATAAATTGCTTTGTACGACTCATCTTCGGGAACCCAAGAGACGCCTCTGTTTCCTGTTTCTATGAAGAGTTGAAATGGCTTCATCCTTTCGTATTTCCTGGCATCCTTCCTCAAATCATCAGTCCACTCCCGCAATACCCATTCCCGGTGTTCAGATTTATATATAATGGCCCACCGAACTGCTGCTTTCGATAAATCTTTTATTATTGGATCCTCAACCCTATGGAACTCCATCCCTTCCCACATCCATCAATCCAAAACTCTTCCTACCTTTAAATCCCGACTGTTTAATAATTTCTTATCCATCCAGCCCTCATAAAATTGTAAATAGCTACTACTGTAAATATGTATATAAATTATTAGATCGTTTTTCATTATTTTTACTTCATGTTTATTTTCTATTTTTTATTATTAACTGATTTAAATTAAAAAGTAATTTATTATTTCTTTCATTATTTTTTTTTATCTTGACTATTTAATCAAACTATATTCTTGTTTATGTATCTTTGAGGCTCCTTAGCCCACATTTTTGTCTCTCTGTATTATTCTAAAGGGATTCGTCCCAGAATAAATAAAGCATTATTATTATTATTTAGAAAAAAAAATTAACAACACATAAATTAATATCTCTCTTTGAATAAAAATACATGAAAATGTATCTTTACTAGGATACATATCTTTAAAGTGATAAAATACTTAGAGAATAATGAAAGTAAGAAATAAAACAACATACACAAAATTATAATTTATTAATATATTTTTCTTTCTTAATTTTTTATCATAAAAAAAGATGACATAAAAAGAATATATATAATAAATTTTATTTCTATAAACACGATTTGATTAAGATGTTAAATATATGCTGCAATATTATGTTATCTGTATGTTTCTCTACAATGGCCAAATCACAATCAATTTACAGCCCAAGCTCACAAAGTCGAAACAACATTTTGTTTTTTTCATAACCCATCGATATTACATACATTAGAAGATTACGATATCATCTTTCGATATTCCTACATATTTTCAAATATTTTGTATGCAATACCAGAGAGATAGGGAAAACTAAAATGTTAATTTTAAATTAGTGCCACATAAGTTCGCTCTTGGACAGCAAACTAACCATATTAAACCTATACTTAAAGTAGTTTTTGGCAATGAAGAACCTGGTAATTGACGCTTTTAAATTATATTTAAAAAAAAAAAGTAGTTTTTATTATGTTCCATTCTTTTAATACCAGCAGTATAAAGTTGTTAAATCAAATAATCCAATGCAAAATTTTACTAAAGTTATCTTAATTAGTAGATAAAATATTAAAAGTATATTATCTTTTATTACTAAATTTTACAAACATTTGATATAACTACAAATGAAAGGATGGTACAGTTTAATTATTTAAAGCCTTCCAAAACCTTTGAAATATGATTATTAATATATTAAATAAAAAACTAATAAAATAAAAAACAGCTTCATCACCTCTTAAGAAATTCTTGAAAATAAAATCATTAGACAGACTCTGTCATATATTCTTTCAAAATATCCAAATGAGGTGTATCATCTCCCCAATCCTGGAAGAAAATTGAATTTGTTATACACTAATTTTAAAATTATATAAATAAATTAAAAATGAGGCAGCCCTTAATACAGGACTGAATATAAAAAAGAAAACTGGATATAGCCACTATAACTCAACATACCAACTGGAGATGTTGGAGCAGTCCCAATATCCCTGGGGACTCCTAATATTAATCTAATAAAACAACTCATTAGTCTTCTCAATCTAATCTCATGCCCAACAGACAGTCCATCGTATACAAAGCATCTATAATTAAAGTGAGGAGAGATAAGAGAGGAAACTATGAGCTGACAGGATTTAAGGAAGATAGAATTACGGAATCTCAGAAACTGTTTGAGGATAGATACAGATTCTTGGTTATATTTTGGAAAATATGGTTATTCCAGGACAGGTATTGATCAAAAGCTATGCCAAGGTTTCTAACGTAAGTGAAGATTTAAGAAGATAGAGAAGAAGAAATTTCATTCAGGGGCATTTAAGTCTCTTAAGAATAATGAAAATAAACATGTAGATTTGTCTAACACATAATAACCAACAAAAATTAATTAATTTACAAAGTTATGAAATATTAAAATTAAATGAAACAAAACAATTAAACAAATAAAATAATTGATTTATAAATAAATAAATATCTGTATATTTACATATTTCCACAGGTAAGCAACATAAAACTACCAGAGAGGAGTTAGGGAAGGAAGATCCAACTCAGACCAGATGTTCTGTGTGCGAACCATTCTTGAAAGAGGCTATGAGTACCACACCAAAATTCACCATCTTTTCATTGATTTTAAAGCAGCTTATGACAGCATAATACATGAAGAGTATTGCCTTCAGAGAATTTTACATACTTGAGAAATTCATATGCTTGATAAAGCTTACAAAGAAGGATGTGAAATATATGGTTAGAGTAAATGAGGACAGATCCGAATAATTTCATGCTGGTAAAAGACTCTGACAAGGAGATGTACTAGCATGTATGCTGTTTAACTTTGTAACTTTGTACTTTATAAGGCTGTAACAGACACTAGCTTTTGTGAATGACAAGGAAACATATTTATCAGGTTTGTCCAACTATTGGCCTATCTTAATAATATAGACATTGTGGAACGCTCTCTGCAGGCCGTGACTGATACTTTTATGACACTGGCAGGTCATGCCAGCAGACATGAGCTAGAAGTTAATGAGTCCAAAACAAAATATATGGTAATAGAAGAAATTTCCATTCCAGGCGAGACAGTCACTATTGGGTTTCATAAATTTGAGAAGGTCTCGGAGTTTACTAATCTGAGATCTGCGATCACTCAAAATAATAATCTTGATATTGAGATAAGAAAAAGGATAAAAGCAGCAAACAAATGCTACTTTGGGTTAAGCAAGTAGCTAAGCAGGATGGATATTTTCGAAACAGGCCAAGCTCCACCTCTATAAGATATTGGTGAGTCCCATACTTCTTTATGGATTGGAATGTTGGACAACTTCAAAGGCTACTAAAAAGGAACTCCTTATTTTAGAGATAAAAGCTACAGGACTGAAAGCTGAAGAGGAGTGGAAGAGAAGCCGATGTGAAAGCAATGAAGTTAAAGCACTTAATGCCTGCAGTGCATACTACTAGGATGGCAGATGGAGAAATCCCTAAGATATTGCTTACACAGCCTATCTATGGAACAAGAAGAGTGAAACCAAAGCTTAGATGGCCAGGTGGTGTAGCATAAGACGCCTGCAGCATGCTAGGAGTCGGGAACTGGATGGCATCGGCACAATATCTTGATGATTGGAGGAAATGGTTAGAAAAAGCCAAGACTTGTGACTGTAATAACTATTAAATAAGAGCAAAATGAGGTTGGTAATATTAAAATACAAATATTTAATTCTTATATATATATTCGGAACAGTGATAGCTGAGGAGATGGAAAAATAATTGGTGTTTAAATGAAGTTAAGGATTTCTGCATATGGAGGTGGGTAAAGAATTCCAAAACAAGCATAATAAACAATTTTCTTTCAGAGGAAACAGTTATATGAAGAAGAATATATAGGTTAGTGGCCTGAGTGTTTGAAGAATGGGCAGAGGAAAAAACACTAAACAAATCATATTCCAATATTCAAATTAATGTTTTAATATGTTTACAGGGGCTCAGTTTATGTCATTTCATGAAGTTTATGAGGCTCTAAATCCTTGATAATTTTCATGTGGATATGTGGAAGCATGTTAAAGTTATATTCTTTGTGTTTTTGGAAAAAAAATCCTAGGAGAGAACCATGGGCTCCGATTCGGTGCAAACAATTTTTATATTTTTATTGCTATGAAAATTTATATTTGAGAGTTTTTTAAGATGTGAAATACAATTCTTAACTCTGTTTGCTTCTTCAGTCGGTAGGTATTGTTTGAAATTTACAAATTTCTAATAGACTTCGAAGATTTTTTTTGTGGGAAACATAGTAAGCTTTCAAATAATCAGGTGTTTTTCACAAATAAAGTTTCTTTTCCTTCACAACTTTTTTTCTTGAAATTTCTGGGGGATGTGACTATTTTTCCCCCTTGAAGGAGAAGATCGTCAAAATGAAGGATCAATTATTTATTATATTTGATGAAGAATTGACGAAGGTATGGCATATCAACAAAAAAACACCTTTGAAAAATAATATATAAAAATTGACCAATATTATAATATATAATATAGGCCACTATTACTGCATGTAATACAGTAAGGTAATCGGTTAACATCCTCCAAATGAATAGCCCAGTTGAAAGCCAGAGACTTATTCTGAAACATCTGCACAAAATATTTTATTAGTATTTTTCACTGTGACTACAACCCCCTACTAACCAACCATATTATCTACATTCAAATATTTCTCCGTCAACATATTGTCAGTTTATTGCAATAAGTCACTAAGTGCATTTTTGGTATAGTTTTACTTTCAAAAATGTTTTTATGAATTTCAACTTCATTTATCGATACAAAAACACTATAAGGACATGAAAATGAAACAAACCTTTTTGTACACCAAATATAGTTACAAAAAGCACACAATATTATGATTTCATAAAGGAATAAGTTCTTGATTGGTTAAGGTTATGAAATGCCCCTAATGGGTTTTTGAATAAAACAGACAAAATTATAATTACTTTATGAAATATAAATAAAAATTTGTATTCTAAAGTAAATTTAAGCTTATTGATTAAAAATTATTTTATTGAATTAAATTGCATATGTTTTGGACGGAGAGTTTACCATAAAGGTTTTATTTCTGTGAATGATTTGAGATCCAATAAAGGACCAAACTACAAATAAAAATACATATCTGTAATTAAATTTATATACCTGCTTAGATGTCTCGAATCCCAATCAAATGCTACTAATGATCAATCAGTAAAAGTATAAAATTAAACAAAGGAAATAAAAGGAAGTGTTGCAAATCTTTCAAAATTATTAATAAATTAATATTAATAGGATTAGATATTATGAAAATGAAACTTACAACTAATTAGTAGTGTAAACATATTTTTTTTTACAACTAACAGTATAATTTTGTAATAACTTGATAACAGTAATTTTCATTGTGTGTCTCCTATGTTATGAACTCAGTGTTGGATCAAAATATGAAAAATTTGTAAAAAAAAAGTTTTCTGTTCGACTGAGATATTTTGAAATAATTGAAGAATTTATCTTCATTGGTAAACAGTTTATAGCTGGGAAACATATGTTTCAAGATTTCCTAGAAAACAGTGAACTTAAAAATTTTTTTTTACGATGATTTCGTATTTAATTAGTATCCTGTGTTAAAACATCTAACACAAGAAAGCACTTGTATCATCTGGTTCTATCATTATACGGCTTAGAATAACCTTTTAAAGGAAAGACTGTATCAGAAACAGAAAAGAGGATAAGATTTTTTGAACTATTCAAGTTTTCATTTATATATTCATTGAACTATAAGTTTTCATTTATTCTCTGCTTTAACAATTTCTTTCTTTCATATACCTTTTTCATTTGTATAACTTGTAAAATGGGAGTAGGTCTCCTCTGTTAGGCAGACATGGGGTAGTAAACTTAATTATTATGACCTATAAACCAATACCAATATCAATTAAGTTATAGGTAAACTATAGTTAGGTGCTTGTTAAACAAAATAAAAAATATTAATTTTTTAACAGATTATTAATGTATTATAACTCACTTTAATCACAACACATGAGCAACCAACTATTTTTCTAGGGTTTCCTATTTTATCAATTTTGCAAAGACCAGACCATTCCCCCAATTTCTTATTTGAATCAACCTTAACAAGAGGAATTTGGTGTTCAGAACACAGTGCTTGAACAAGTTTTTTATACATAGGTTCATCACAGTTGTCTGCTAACACACAAAGTAGAGCTTGCCTTCTGAAAACATGAACAAATGGTTTAATAGAATCTTGAGGAGCTTAATATTAAAATTTATGTATAATGAAACATTAAAATTTTAAGTTACCCTCATATATTACTGAATACCTAAATATTATTACTTATAATCAGCATTAAATATCTATATTCGAAGTAAAAAAATGGTTAATAACTTTGAACATTTCAGGAAAACAATTCCAATTTGTAACTCATCTCTGTTAATTATCTTCTGAAAATCAGTCATTAGAGGAACAATCTGTTATTGATAACCTAGATGAGTAAGATTGGAGCAACAAGAATAGAATTGAAAAGTGAAGTCTGTAATTCAAATTATTATTAATTAATTTCCATTTTTATATCTCTCAAAAACTAGGTGGACTAAATTCGTTTTACTTATCTTCAATTCTTTAGTATAGGTATAGAGATAAAAACAAATATTGTGAAATTGTAATTTTTTATATTAAAATATGCAACTAAAATAATTTTAAAAAAATTATAGTTCTAAATAATTCAAAAACAAAATAAAAACAGTTGGTACAGATTATACATAGAAGCAAACCAAAACTCACACAAGCACACAGAACTTTTAATATTTAATCGATGATGTGGTTAAGAATACTTTTAAAGTTCATTTAATGACCCTAAATTCATACCCAATAAAAGAAAGTAAACCAATTATTCAGCATAGAAATTCTAATAAAGTTTATATCAAAATAGAAGCACTTAAAGTATTTGGCAATAAAATAACTCATTGTTATAGAATTATAAAATTAGTTTTAAATTCTATTACACATATAAATTATGTTTTATAAATATACAGATTGATAGGTTTAGATAACTTAAAATTAACAAAATTTAAGTCTACCAGTATATGTACCTTTGATTAAACTTATGATCAACAAAAAAATTTAATGGAGATAAATATGAGTAGAATGTTTAAATTATTAAACTCTTTATAATTTTGACAGGATTAAATATTTTTACAGGAATAAGCAGAATAAATTTAAATCAGTTTAACTAAAAAATAATATAACTGATTACTTGTCTAATGCTTTTGCTGATTCCCTTAATCCATGGACCACTACACCACTCCTTACAGCACCTTTCATTACTTCTTTAAGAGCTGTATTAATATCCACACAATCGGTTGGGGTCCTGAACAAATTATTAAATTGGTAATCATTAATCATAAAAGGAATGAAAGAATAAGAATATAAATTGAAACAAGATGTTAATACTTACACTTCGTCGTTCATTTTATTACAAAATTGAAATATTATGGGCAAACAATAAGTTTGATTTTTAAGAGACCTCGAAATAATTTTAGAGTAGTTTACTGAAAGTAAGCAGTATTCTTTTAAGTTCAAATCACTTAAAACGACGAACGAAAGGAAACCAAGGAATACTAAATCACTACGTCACTAATTGCGAATTAGCTAATCAAATTATAATTTGAATCTCATTTAATTATAAATAAAATAGTTTATCTCAACTTTTTTTTAGTGTTAAGAGATGGCATGTTTAAAAACATAAAAATGTTTACTCAATATTTCAAAATTATATTTTTGAAGAAAAACAATCGATATCTGAATCTTAATCTGGCGTTCCTTGAGTAACATGACTGGACATTTCTTTGTCTGAAGGAGGTTAACCTCTTTGTTGAGGAGGATTAGAAGAAAAGAGTAAAATCATTAATCTTTTCTTATTAATTTTATAAAATTAAAAACTCAATTGCTATATACATATGCATGAGTTTTTATATTACTTTACTTATAGGTGATTAGTCTCAACAGTTGTAATATAAAGATCGAACTCTTTTTCTACTTTAAACACACCCGTGTTTTGTTTTTTTGCTTTAGTGATTTCACAGTTATGAATAGTTCCTTAAACTTGTTATGGGACTCATAACTAATACTACAAACATCTGTTTTATTAAAGGTAGGACATCTGTATTTCATAATGTGAACTGACATTTTGTGTAATCTACAATAGAAGGGCTTCAGCCCGAATGATTTTTTTTTTTGTATGTATATATTAGGATAATTACTTCGGAAGAAAGAAATAAACTAATTACCTATATGAAATGGTGTTTAAGTGATTCTTTAAGTCCTATCATTATCTTCTAATCACTTCCTAAAGCAGCACTTACAATTAGTTCAAATAAATTCATTTCTGCTCTTGAAATAACCTTTAAATGAACTACTCGTTTCATAATTTAATAAAACAGATGTTTATTGTGTTAATTATGAGTCCTGTTACAGTAAAAAAAAATTGGTGCGCACAACACACAACTTTCACTTACCACTCAACTTTGAATAGAAATTATTTTCTGGCCATGTTGGGCTATTATAAAATTTTTGAATTACATTTTTAACTGAGCTAAAGCTAAAAAATTATAGCTAACAAATCATAAATACCAGTAAAATAACAAAAGTTCTATTTATTATATCATCGATTGATTATGGATTGTACGACTATTAGTTATTAAACTGTTATTTTCCATTGCAAAGCTTATTAAAACGGAATTAAGAGATCTGCATTGTCTACCATAGACAGGTCAAAAGTTGTCACACTAATTGTAAGTGGATACTGTTGGAATATCACAAAAGGAGATTTCATCAAACTATTCACTAATTTAATTTTCTAAAAGGTTACTTGACGATTTTTTGTAATAAACGGACGACAGATGCCTAAATAATTAAATATAATTTCAGATCTGGAGTTATTAAACTACAGTAAATATATTGAAGGTTATAAACGTATCTATGAAATATTTTGAAATTTCACTTCTTTCACACAAATACAATGAAATAGTAGTGGATACTGTTGAAATATCACAAAGGGAAGATTCATCAAATTATTCACTAATTTAATTTTCTAAAAAGTTAGATGACGATATTTCGGAATAAATGGATGTTGATACCTAATTATTTAAATATAATATCTGACCTAGAATTATTAAACTACAGTAAATGTATTTAAGGTTGTAAACATGTGGTTTATCCATCCATGAAATGATTTTATATTTAACTTCTTCTTTCTCACAAGTACAATGAAATAGTTTTTTAAACAATGTCATAGCCTTGATTAGGTGGATTTTAAATACTTTTTTCGAATGTTAATATTTTAAAAGTTTACATTTAGTAAGTAAATTTCATTTAATTTCCTTGAAAACGAGTGATTTATGTTAAATAATATTAATTTTCAAAAATTATTATTTATAATTTTTTCCACTCTCCGTTACTTTCTATATTAGATATTGTTTTTTTTTTTTCTAAAATTCTCCGCTTTCCAACGATATATTATACGTATACCTTCTGACTGGTATTCTTGGAGATTCATTTTCGACCTGGATAAGCATTTTTATTTTTTTCTCCTTATTAACTTATCAAATTCTTTCAAAAGTTATATATAGCATTTTTTCGTAAATCTGAATAATGTGAGATTATTAACTTTTTAAATAAACCATATTAAAGGTACTTTAGAGGAAGACGCATATGAACATTGGGCATTAACACCAAGTAAAGTGACATCAACGGGGATAAGACATAAATGATATTAAGGAACGCTTAATTATACAATGATAACAGCGAGTTTAATCAAAATCGTTAGAGCCGTTTTTGAGAAAATTGTAAAAATGTGTTTCAGCGTTGATATAAAGTGGAACTTCCGGTTAGCCGATTTTAAGGAAAAAGTTGCTGTCACATCTAAGGCATATACCTGTCTCAAATACGTAATATCAGTTTCGTACGTCTTTTCGTTTTTGAGCTACACTGCTAACACACACACAGAAACACAAACACACAGTCACACAGACACATCGACCATTTTTCGGGACTTGGTTATTTGGATTCAGAGTACCCCAAAACGTGTATTTCCATTGAAAATCAGACTCAAAAAATTTCACGATCGAAATAACCTTACTATATATTACATATATATGTAAGTGAAAGTAAAAAATCAATGTTGTGTTTAAAGTAGAAAAGACCCAAGGATCGTCCAAATAAATAATGATAGTAAAAAAAACCTAAAGGAAATTTAAGAAATAATAATGTTTGAATCGCCAAAAATAGCATGTAAAAAGAAACAAAGAGCTAGCTAAATACTGCTTGAAAGTTTTATATCTTTTTTGCTATCAATTTCAGACTTATGGTTGGTTCATTAAGACGACTGAACACTTAAGACTGCTATCTTAAGTTGCTCACTAAAACTATGGATTACTTAAATAAATTGTCACTATATTTTGAGAAATTTTTTTTTTCCAAATTCAATATTTTGAGAATTTTAATATGGTGTGAATTGGCTTTATGACAAAATGATTTAATAGCTTATCTTCAGATTTATATTGTAATATTTCATTCAGTTGTCCTTTCAAAACCATTAGTTATCATTTATGAAGTTTGTGGTTATCATTTATAAAGTTTTTTGTGTTCCAAGTGATATTCCAGTCACTTCTTGAAAGTTATAGTTGTGGATGCTTACATAAATCATATGTCCACTATAATATAGCAGGTTGAAAGACAAATCTGCTTTCTGGGACATTGGATAATATTCATAGATTTATAGAAAGAGTATCAAAATTGTTATGGCAAGTCCTCCAAAACTGATTTCATATAAATAATACGAAAATTCATGAAGAAAACATCTGCCAAGCCAAGTTTGAAACTCCCGTTTCTGAGCCTTTCCCAACAAATAAAGGAGTCCACCAAAAATGCAGTGCATCGTCAAGATTGAAATTAGTTTAAAAGAATGGAGGAAAAATGTAAACCCTTCTCCATCCATTTCAGAGAAGGGGTATTACTCTATATTTTATTGTTTGCGTACGACCAAGTCATCATTGTCCAAGATTTTGACAGGAGTCAGAAGATGCTGACTTTATGGTCAGAAGATTATAAGAGAAACATAAACAAAGGGTGCTGGTTATCAAAGCTCCTGGAGACTCATTGAAAAGAATTCAACACTTCCAATAGCTAGTATCCAATTAGATGTTTCCTACGATATGGTAATAAAAATAAGGATCGGAGATGGCGAGAAAATTATATCAATGCTCAACTCAATATTACGGGGTAGGAATATCATTACTAAAACCAAACAGTATCGTACACGACGCAGAAACCTGGACAATACATGATGAACTTCAGAAGGAACTCCTGGCAACAGAAATAGATAAATGTTGGCAAGAACATTCAGAATGGATAAAATAAGAAATGGAAAAAAATTGAGGAAAGATAGAGCTAAACGAAAATTCTCGAAAATATCGAAAAAAGTCCCATGGAGATTTTGGCAAATTGGCAGATGGAGCAGAAATGTCGGAAAAGAAAAATGTAGAGTCAGCAAACAGAAGATTTTATGATGGAACTTAATTTGTAAGACGAATGGACTCTGGATAGAAACATGTGGAAGTTGGCCATAGAAGAAAATTATAGATTAATCTATTATTTTAAGAAAATCCTTAAATACAAAAATTAAATAGTGAAATAAACCAATCTTAAGCTATTTTTCCTTACGCGGAAACAAATCGAGACCGACGGTATAATTAAAAGAAGTTATAATCATTCTCAAATAGATTTCTTTATGTATGAATCTGAATTTGTTTGCATATATTTGATGGTTTGACATATATATTACTATTTTTCTAATTCCATGATATTAAAATGATATAGTAATACGCATATTAAGAACTTAGCTGGGTTATGTCCATAGAAACTTAAAAACACGTTGGAATATAAAGTTAATAATCCAGAGTTATCCGAGTCGCGCCTATTATAAATGTCATGGTTAATTTTTTCTTTTCCTTTTTTATTTTATCAACACTTTTAAGGGTATGGGGAGGCGCCCACTCTAAAAAATACTGATGATAAGAGGACAGGAAATAAAAGAAAATAACAAGGGATGTGAGAGATGCCCCTGAGGGGATCCAACTCCCAGGAGAAATGTGGAGCAACTTAGAGGGCCGAGCAATGAAATCAAGTGACCACCCTTGTCAACAGGACAATCTAATTGTTACCTGGCCTCCATCCAATCCTTATCCCTCACGTCCCCTCTCCCCCTCTATCTCTCGTATCTTTCCTCTTTCTTTATCCTTATAATTCCCGTCCTACATTCTTGGCCTACGAGTTCCTTCTGCACGCCAGAAAGCGTCTCAATTCTTTCTTCCATGGGATCAGTCTGGACTCGATTCTGCGGAAGAATTTAAATGATAGATGCAAACATCTTTGATGAAAAATGAAGTTAAAATCCCTTTGTTTACAAAAGTGTATATCAAGTATCGTCATGGTTTACTACTTATCCAATAGATTTCTTACACAAATAAAAGACTTTTTATTAGTATCATTACTAAATTTAAATGAAATATTTATATTAAAATATATCGCATTGATGCCAAAAATCGTTCCCAGAAGGAATATTATAATTTTTTTAAATTGAATTATTTGAATTTCGTTTTCTGCACTGTTCTCCTTCAAACAAAGCAGGCTTATTTACAGTATTTTTTATCGAGGCTATCACAAAAGAAAAAAAAGATACATTTCATGCAATGTTTACCTTTTTTTTATCTATCTTTCCGCTCATTTCTTTGTATGGCAATATCCTAGGACTCAAATTAGAAAATTCTTTTTTTTTTAGATCTTATACCGATAATACATCTCTTGAAAGTGAACTTTCATCTCTTTTTTACTGATTATTAATTAATTTAAGAATATGTATATTTTTATTCGGCGTTTCACAATAATTGTAGCAAGACAAATTCTATAA